TTACGCTGGTTCCAAGATAGACGAAGTTATCTACAACTTCAAAGCTATGACTGTCAACAGTGACGTGAGTGCCAAGTCGCGAGTGCGACGCCTGTTTGTTTGATGACAAGAGATATTTCGTCCGGCCCTCGTTCACTGCCAGACCCTTTTGTGTTGGTTCATTGTCCAGTCTGGAGAAAGCAGAACTAACGGCGCGGGTGTTGAGACCGATAATATCAATATCATCGGCATACGYCAGCAGCTGTACACTCTTATAGAAGATGGTACCTTCTCTATTTAGTTCTGCAGCTCGAACTATTTTCTCCAGAAGCATTTTGAAAATGTCTCACGATAAGGAATCGCCTTGTTTGAAGCCTCGTTTGGTGTCAAACGGCTCGGAGAGTGTCCTTCCCGATTCTGATGGAGCTTTTGGTGCTGCTCAGCGTCAGCTTACACAGCCATATAAGTTTTGCAGGGATACCAAATTCAGACATCACGGCATAATGGACGCTCCTATTCGTGCTGTCGAAAGCAGCTTTGAAATCGACAAAAAGGTGCTGAGTGTCGATTCTCCTTTCACGGGTATTTTCAAAGATTTGGCGCATGGTGAATATCTGGTCGGTTGTTGATTTGCCTGGTCTGAAGCCACACTGATAAGGTCCAATCAGTTTGTTGACGGTGGGCTTTAATCGTTCACACAATACGCTCGATAGAACCTTATATGCTATATTGAGGAGGCTGATACCATGGTAGTAGGCGCAGATTGTGGGGTCTCGTTTTTTGAGGATTGGGCATGCTACGTCCGACCATATTTTACAAAAAAGCTGATGCATGCTCCTTATCAGTTCCTCGCCACCGTGTTTGAATAGCTAATTATAAAGGGTAATTGCTATTCGAAGTTCTTCCTGGTTGGGGAATCGGGTTCGCCTTCTCCTGGCGTTGTGCGTTCACTGCCATTCAGCAGGCTGGAAAGTGTTCCCTCCATAATTTAAGTATGCTCTGGGCATCGGTGACAAGATCACCTTTGGGGGTTCTACAAGAGTAGTTGTTTACTAATTTTTAATAAAACTTTAATTCTGATCGAAATTTAAAACACACACATTATTTTTGTGTGTTCGAGAAATAATTTTGAACTGTACGTTTGGAATTTAAGTAAAGGATTCCTCAGTTCCTTGTTCAACATGTTGCAAGTTAAATTGCTCTCACATGCTTTGCTCATAGCGCCCTAAGCATGCTCTCTTCTATAATGTTTTTCTTCCGCTTTGCTTTTGCCAACAAGTTTTCCATCTCCATTGTTGAAGTTCAGTTATGTCGTGACCAATCGTTAGAGGTAGTGTTACACATTTGTACATATGTATGAAAGGGCTCTAGCGTCGTACAAAGATTGCGACTTCGATAGTAAACGTGGAAATCGTAATCACATGACTCTAGACTTCGCTATTACCTTTAAACAGTTTTATAGAATGCAAACTCGATCAGCAAAAGCTAAAGGTTTGGGCTGTAAGCCATATACTATAAAGTATTCGATATTAAATATTAAATTCATCTGCTTGAGATATTTTGCATCTTCGGTATATATAGTTTGCATATCTTAATATGAGGAAATTACTAATGTGATCAGTAAGCGTGGTTATGGTTTCTCCTATTTTCACGAGGATGAGGTACTGTTATGCCGAAAATATTTGTCCAGAGCAAATTTCGTTGGTTGGTTTGGAAGAACTTATTAGGCGGCGGAGCCTTGTCCACATTTTCAATATTCACCAAGACAAATTCAGAATCAGGCGATTACACTCTGTTTATTCAATCTACCCCATTTTGTTATTGCATTGGTGTAATGGTTAAAGCTTAATAAAGCTATGTAGTATATGTATAAACCTATCATTTTTAGATCTGAATATTTATCTTCCCTGACAGCCTAACTTCTTACAATATTATAAATGCAAATGAGCTCATTATATGAATATAAATAATATAGATTGTTTATGAGTTATGCTACTAAACCCGTGGGTGTCCGGAATTCCACAGAATTTTTCGAAAACCTGAGGACAAAGCCTCATCTTATATACTAAATTTACGTTTTGATTTGTGATGAAGTGGCGATTATTTGATGTTCCAGGAAAGATATACAACCTTTTCACTAAGGTGTATTAGTTTCTTTTGATACTATTTACGGCATGGATCAAGCTCCATTAGTACAAAACTACTTTTATCCACCAAACATGTAGGGAGAGCAGAAAAAATATCTCATATCTTTCGTTGCCAATCGCGTCGTTCCGGATATGGTGTGCGTTAAGGTAATCAGAAACATGCCAAATGCTACAATGGCATAACAAAGTGTAAATTATAGGCCGCACTTCAACGTAGGTTTTTTTTGCAGTTACTTCCGGAACCCACGAATAATTAGGGGAAAGCAAATAAATTAATTTAAATGCATTATTATTTTCTGTGGTATAAATTACATTTTTTCGAATTAAATATTGCTGGTGCTAATTTTTTACCTTTTATAAATTTGTACCTTCTTACTTTGACTTTGCATAGGCACGACACTTCACACAAAAAAAAAAAACTGATGGTTTATGGTAATTTTACAGCACGAGGCTAAATTTAGTAATGGACAAATGTTTGTGTGTATATTAAAGTAAACAAAAAAGATATTTTCATGTTAATTTCTATCACATGCGATAAAACTTGGCAAGTCTTTGGTGAAAGTGCGGAAAGCGAAAACGGAAATTGCGCGAAAAGCGGAAACTTTTGCGAAAAAAGCAAAACCATGCAAATGTGTATTCTCTGTTCATTCGTTCTTTTTAATTCAAATTTGCTGCTGCCATATTTACATAATTACGTAATTAGATTTCTGCTTAATGCAGTGGGTCAGTGATAAAAATCTACCTTCATAAAATTCTGCTAAATAATTGAATAATTTTCCTGCTAAGTTCTAATAACACTGCGGCACGAGTAGGAATTCAGTACCAGATATATTTTTGAAGTGTGAAATTTTAAAAATTTTAAAGCTTTCGATGGTAGAAGCCAATTTATAACACGAATTGCTCGTTGCGTGAATTACGGGGATTTATGCATTCTCATACAGTGGCTGATCTGCTATAAATATGATATGAATACTTTATATTACCTCAAATATGTATTACTATGAATATATATTACAATATATTTATACTATATATATTACTCATATGTATAAAAATAATATTTCTTACTGTATTTCTCTACAATACCTCATTATTTATTTGAAATTTAAGGGTTAGTAGGAACTTAGAGTTGAATTGCTCATTGCAACAAGCCAAATTTTTCGTAATTCCACCCAGACCTGTAACCATCACTCCATCTACTACTATTAAATAAATTTATTATAAATGTTCGATGAACTTATAAGCAGTCCACTAATTAGCCAAGAAAGCTTTTTCATCTGCATAATTTTGTTCTTCTTCTTTATTAGCCTTTACAACAGCGCCCCTTCTCGCCGTTTGGCGATAATTAAAGATTTCAAGCGAGTGAAGGTCTTCCTCTTCCTCTGCTTTCTCCGACGGGCCCTGCGTCGAATAGTTTCAGAGCTGGAATATTTTCGACATGACCTAGCCGCATAAGTAGCCGCTGTCTGATGACGGGGATGATAAGTGACTTGTAGAGTTTGGTCTTTGTTCGTCAAGGGAGATCTATACTTCTTAATTGCCTACTCGGTTCGAAGTATCATCGGTTCACAAGAGTTATTTTATTAGATCTACGATCTCGAAGTTATAACCGTCAACAGTGACGTGGGAGCCAACTCGCGTTTATGACGACTTTTTGTTTGATGACAGGAGATACTTCGTCTTGCCCTCGTTCACTGGCAGACCCATTTGCTTTACTTTCTTGTCCAGTCTGGAGAGAGGTGATGTGTTCGATCCTCTTTTCGCGAGTTTTTTCCAATAATTGACGCATGATGAATCTCTGGTCAGTTGTTGATTTTGCAGGTATGAAGCCAAACTGATAAGCTCGAATCAGTTTGTTGACTATGGGCTTTAATCTCTCAGTAGGCTCAATAGAACCTTATATGCTATGTTGGGGAAGATTTATAAAAACCAAAATACTTTTATTTTATAAATTATAAGTCTTAAGCTCAAATTCTAGTTATATTGATTATAAATTATTAAAACTTTGACAACAAAATGGATAATAAACGCTTGAAACTTTTATATAAAGGGAGCTAACATCTCTTTTTTGTCTTTCAGAAGTAAAGTTTTAAAACCCAATAAGAAAAAGTTATGTATTATATATATATACTATATATAGAAAGTGAGAAAGTGAATACAAAAAAGGGAAACTACTTCTAAAAAAATATTTATTATACAAGAACGCAACCATAATATACTGAGTGAACTGTGAAAGCGCACCAATATTGGCTCTGGCGCATTCTTGCAACAACTAAATAGGCGTGCTAACGTGAGTTCCATTGCGAACCTGAAAGCCGTTGGAAGTGTGCATAAATGCCTTTTGGGGCACCAAATGTGAAAGGCTGAAATTGAATTGTAGCAAAGGTGAATTATTATACATCATACGCATGTGCAACGGGTGAACGAAGAGTACAATTTGCAGAAAATCAACGAGTGCATTCATGGGGTGAAAGTTTTGTGGTCTTTCAGCGAGCGTGAAAATAATTCAGAACACGTAGCAAAATATTTCAGTTCTTCCCTTGAAAGTGTGCGCTTTAATTGTGTTTCCAGCCAGTGAGTTCATAAGTACAGACATGATGCAACAATACAGGGAGTGAAAACTGTACCGTGATCCAACACTTAGACTCACGCACGCATACCAACACATTTCCCACCCATTTCGCAAACTTATTGTCCAAGTGAAGCGCAGCGTTGCGAAGTATTATCTCCAGCCCTGCTGTGTTCCACCCCCTGTCGACGGTGTGTATTTAACCTTGTTACTGTACCATAAGTAAATATAACCCACCCATATACCATCCACACGCACTTCTGCTCCACAATAGCCTCAAAGGCCGCTTAATGCCGCTGAGGAAAATGTCCGCGGCTGCAGGTTCCACTGTCGCCGCGCTTGCTGCCATTGCCGCGACAACAACAACCACCACAACAGTTACCACCTTAGCCACGGCAGCAGCGACGGCATTCGCAGCAGCAACAGCGACGAGCAGCAGCAATCACAGTAATGTCGCCAACATAATGGGCGCCGGCAGCGACGTTGCGGCGAGTGGGACTGCGAGCGCTGCTAGCAGCGCCGATCATTTGCCGCTTCAATTGACCACCGCCAAAGTGGATCTGGACATTGAAATCGACATTCAACTGCTCACAAACGGCTACGAAGGCACAACGGTAAGTTTCAACACAATTCAACCTTTGACCTGTAGAGGCACGGCTGCCTTACTTATATACATGTATCTCGATACACACATCCATTCTAGCTTTATTTCTTGCTCCTCCTGCGACTCATTCGCACCACCTGCCAGTGTGGTTATAATTCGTCTTGGCTTCCGCGTGAAGAATAAGACAATATTTTATCGAATCGAAGCAAATTTTATTTATGCTCCCTCTTTCGCTTATTCACAATACATCTCCTCGGGTTGGCGCACAGGTTGTGGCACCTGTGCTGTGGCAGCTGCACCGGTTGGGCTATTTTATTATGATACCTTCATAAGTTGTATGTTTCCGGTCGTAAAATCACAACTGCAAAATGGCACGTGGAGAAAAGGGGCACCTGGCGCCACTCCCATTCAAATTGTCAGTTTATTAACTTTGTGTGCTCAACCGGTTGCACGTGTCTAAAAGCTAAGGAGTCGCTTCGGGTTTCAAAATCTCTCTCTTTGTGATTTATTTGAAGTTATTATATAACATTTTTATTCATACGCTTTATAACCCTATTTATTTTCCATTCGTTGATTTTTATGCATGGCACAACCTTTGTACCGTTATAAATCTGGAAAGCGGAAATTCTAAGCCGCTTTTATGCGACTTTGTGCAAAGTGTGCCTTTTAGAAGAAACACAATAACTTTTAACATATTTGAAAATCAATTTTGATGTATTAATGGATGGAATGGGTTTGCGTCGTTAGTTTCATTTGTGAACCAAATCTGTTTTGAACAAGTAAGGAAGGGCTAAGTTCGGGTGTCACCATTTTACACTCTCGCATGACAAGTTTCATCAAGATATCTCAATTTTTACTCAAGTTACAGGCTGCACGGACGGACAGACAGACTCTGATCACTTTTTTATATGTAACCATATATCTGACGATATATACCGTTATTAACAACTTTATTGCGAGAGTATAAAAATGACGCCCTCTGAATTACATGAAAATATCTGGGAGCTTTACCGATATTTTCGGTGAAAAATTAGGTTAGGTTAGGTTAGGGACTGAGTTCTTTCCTTTTCGATATCAGGGACCTTGAAAAGTTATAGTCCGATCACGATAATTTTTCCACAAGGGATACCTCAGCTCAATTACCGTATTTGTGTAAAGTTTTATTTCGCTATCATCATTGGTACTTAATGTATATATTATACAGAGAAGGCATCAGATGGAATTGAGAATAGCGTTATATTGGAAGAAGGCGAGGTTGTAAACCGATTTCACCCATATTTCGTACATGTCATCAGGGTGTTAAGAGAATATAATATAAGTATATATATATAGCCCATAAGTGGGCGACGCCATGCCCATTTTCAATTTAAAAAAAAGCCTGGATGCAGCTTCCTTCTGCCATCTCTTCCGTAAAATTTAGTGTTTCTGACGTTTTTTGTTAGTCGGATAATGCACTTTTAATGATTTTCAACATAACCTTTGTATGGGAGGTGGGCGTGGATATTATCCGATTTCTTCCATTTTGGAACTGTATACGGAAATACCTGAAGGAAACGACTGTATAGAGTTTGGTTGACATAGCTATAGTATTTTCCGAGATATATAGAAAAAACTTAATAGGTGGCGGGGCCACGCCCACTTTTCCAAAAAAATTACGTCTAAATATGACGGACGGATCAACAGACAGACATCCGGATTTCAACTCTACTCGTCACCCTCACCGTTATGTGAACTAAACTATAATACTCTCCTTAGCAACTTTATTGCGAGGGTATAACAAGTAGGGAAAGGCAAAGTTCGGGTGAAACCGAACATTTTATGCTTTTGCAACTTGTTATGAGTTAAGCACGCTTTCTGATTTTCTCACAGGTTGGTCGATTATAGGTTTATGAGGGCTGAAGGTTTTTTAAAACTTTTCTTGAAAGTGCAATATCTTATCTTTATAAATATTTCATGGAATTGATTGGAATAAAAAACATGTAGAGCTACATCGCATTTTGTGCATTTATATGACGAATGGACGTTCTGACAACAAAGAGGCTTCTTTAATTTGTTAATGCCATGTCCAACTTTGTCCTTACAAACACTCTCCAGAGTGGCGCCTTTGGTTTTTCGAACAGCTGTTGACTGTGGAGGGCATCGATCATATTGCGTTCAAAGCAAGATCCAATGGTTCTATTTTATATGCAATACATCTTTCGGTGGCGCGTGACAATGAATTTTTCAAGCTTTCACCAAACGCTCTTTCATCGTTTGTAACTTCCGGAGTAAAGACCACTAAGTCGACCGTATCTGTATTGAGAATGCGATTTGTGATTTCATGATCGGTATGCCCCATAATCTCCTCAATCTCTCTTTGACGCCGTTATCTTTTGCGAAATAATTTCAAGAGAAAACTCAAAATTTCACTGTCAATATTTTACTCAAGACCGGAATACCTTACTACCGCTCAGTAAGGGGGCATACCTGCGAATTTTACTGGAAGACCTGCTCAGGCTCGTGGAAAACAACCGACTAACTACCTACCAGGAAGGGTTCCTTTTTATATTTCTGACCTAGAAAGCTTCAGGAAAATTCTATTCTAGGCCCACTGCCACGACCACAAAATGGCGGAAACCGAAAAGTAATAAAGTGTCATAACTAAGCCATAAATAAAGATATTAAAGTGAAATTTGGCACAAAGGATCGCATTAGGGAGAAGCATATTTGGACGTATTACGTACCAAAACGTCCATTACTTTTAGTTGCTGCTTTATTTATGGATGTGTTCTTTTCTCTGACATTCGTTTGCTCTTCGATTGAATGATTCTTGGTAGGTAATCTCATTTGACTTAAGGGGTTTTGCTACCCTAATATACAACGATTCTAACAATGATTGTGCACTTCAGTAAATATTTATATACACATCTCAGTAGCCTCACAGTCTCACAGTTCCAAAAAAGTTTTCAGAAAACATAATTGTTGGCAGAAAAAAACTCATACAATAAATTTGGTAAATTTGCTGGTCTTTCTTTAACCAAAAAACTTCAGGTATGGAATATATTTTTTTATTTAGTCTTAAGGCTAAAATCCGATTAATTTACTTTGCGTAAACATATTTAATTGTTTCACTTTGCATTACGGGATTTATCTGAAGTTTTGTCTATTTCCTCATATTGTTAGATTTTTCCTTGTGTTTTACAATTCACCAGTGTTGCCATTAAATTAGTTTTACTGCCAGGCAGCGTACATTCTGCAGAATGTGGGGTAATAAAGAAATCGTATTTGCAGCCATAAAATTAACAACAAAATCTGTACCGTAATATCTTCATTCGCAAAACACACCCACCATCTCAAAGTTTCATATATAGATATGCAGAGAAATATAAAGCCGCAAAGTTGAACATGGTAAATTTGAAAGAGAAGATTCAGAAATGTTTAAGGAGTATTTGAAAAGTTTTCATCACTTAGAAATGCTACGACAGTTTGTCTTTACTACTCGGGCAATAACGGTAACTTTATTATAAATATAATCTTCCACGCCATTTCATAGAAATTAATGAACCTATGGCGACCATGTTATCTAGCGGTATAGCTAAGACTGTGGAGTAAATATTTAACTGGCTTCGAATTCTCCTTACTTTCACATCGTATTTATTAGTAGAAAAACTTTGTTCTTGCCCTGCACTGAAGGTAGGAATTTTATTCACACTGGGAAAAATTAAATTAGCATAAAAATTACGAAATCGCTGTGCTTCATATTATGCAATTGGTCGAGAAAGGCATGTCTAAAAACGTTAAACACTTACATCTAACCTCTAAATTCCAGCAGCCTATCATACGTACCTAGTCACTTCCTTCAGCAATCAATGCAGTCATTCTTTTTACATGCCCATAATTTTGGCAAAAGTTCTATGCCCAACTGGAATAGAGCAGATTTGCAAAAACAGTTCGTCGCCAAAACGTTCGAATGAATCAGCCTCCGCGTTTAATCCATCACAATTCAATCAATAAATTTCATGCTCAACTGAAGTTTGCCTTCCAATCGATTACAGCATGCCATCAGATTTTAGTCAAACTGATAACACAGTAAGATAAGGTGAAGATTCAACCTCGTTTGATAAAAAAAAAAAAAAAAAAAAACAATAAGGTAAAGTTCAAGCGCCCTCAACGATTATGTGCTCTCGAAATTTCTAAGATTTCAATTTAATAGCAATCAATTTAGATTAACAGATAGTCCATTCTAAAAGTGATTTAAAACTGGACAAAATATGCCACAGTGTTAAATATAATTAATTTAAGGTTAATAAATTGGAATCATAAAAGCTACTGACAATTAAATTCGTACATTTTTTGCGAAGAAATTACGGACAAAAGTTGGAGGTAAGTGATTTGGACATATCTAATTGTCATAAAAGTAGGTCATACATATAAAACCGGACATGAATTTCGAATAGAAAGTGCCTCATTATGATACTTTTATCGTTAACAGTAAATGCATATTAAATGTCGACTTGTGTCAAATGCAATAAATTTGTAAATTGAATACATGAAAATAAAAAGTAGGCGCCTAACCAAAATGCAAGTTCGCATCAAAAACAAAATAATTTTTTTCAATACCAAAAACGTCCATTAGAATGTTTAAAAACATGTTTGCAAAAAACAAAATTTAGGAAACAAAGCAAATAATAATAGTCAAAAATCGCTTTATTCTTTTCAAAATATTCTCCATTATGATCTACACACTTTTGCACGCGTTTGAACAAATTGTCGAGGCACTTTTGCCTCTCCGATTGAGGTATCTCCAAAATATGCTTTTTGAAAGCATCAACCGCCACTGCAGGAGTCGAAAAACGTTGAGCCATTAGTTTATCTTTTACATACGGGAATAAAAAGGAGACATGCGGTGCCAAGTCAGGATTATGCGATGGAAAATTCATCAAATTGATGTTTTGAGTGTTCAAACCTGATGTTGTTTCACTCAATATGTTAGCGCCAGCATTTTCGTTGTGAAGAGTGATCTGTTCGGCG